AGTTTGAAGAGCACCCTGCAAACACTGTACAACCTGCTAGTACTTCCATTTTAAAGATGAGCAAACTGAGGCATCCAGAGAGAGATAAGGCTCTTGCCCAAGGCCGCTGAAAAAATATATATTTTATTTGACAATATACAATTAAGTTGCAAGTGATTACTCTAAAAGTGATTTTTAATGGTGGGATTTTTTTATATTTATTAAGATATTGTATTTTACATGATCGCAAATATGTCTATTGCTGCTTGTTCAATATTCATGAAGTTTACATATTCTAAAAAGAACCAACTTTCTGACTTGATTTAATTAGCATTAAACAGAATTTAAATATGGATGTTTTAAAAATGAATAGCCTCGAGAGCATAAATTATCCAGATACCATGCAATGAAGAATAAAAAAACACAAAAACACAGCTGGCAAAGAAAATTAATGCCATGAGAGATAAGCAGAAGTAACTACTCTCATAATTTTCAGTCACCTGGAACCTAAAGATGATGATGTGATTCTGTCATCCTTTCTGGAAAGATTCATGTATAGACAGCAGCAGCATGCCAACTGGGCAACCATGAAGTTTAGAACAGAGTTACGTTTTTCTATTTGCAGATGACTGCCACTAACAGAGTAACAGTTTTCCTTTAGAAACTAAAAAAGAAAAAATTTAGGTAATTGATAGTAATGGAATTTGTTAGCAAGTTAGGGTGTTTGGCTATCATATTGAAAACTTCATTCTAATTTATTTTTACTGTTGCTACATAAATTTTGCATGCAGTCCTGATTTTCTGCTCATTGGGTTTAGGTCAGTGGTTTTCAAAACCGAGTATGTTAGAATGATATGGAGCTCTTATTTAAACAGATTACTGAGCTACCAACAGAGACTCTGATGCAATAGGTTTGAGACAGGTCCTGAGAATTTGTATTTCTAACAACTTTCTGGGTGATGCTGATGTATTTAGTCTCAGGACTACTTTTGGAGATCCACTGGTCTAGGAGAATTTTAGGAAAGTTATGTTTTTTTTTTTTAGCATAAAAAGATCAGTGACAGGTTGAAATTGTTTTTTGCTACATAGGCAGATACTTTGTAAGAGTTTCTGTCATCCTTTGTGTGAATTAGGATTTATCCCAAATTTCCAAAACTGGACTTCAGGATTTTCAAATGTTGACAAAGGACTCGGTCAAGGTCCCAGGCATCATGGCATAGCTGATCACACATGACTGCAGGTGCATGAGAAAGTCTACATGACACCAGAAGTACTGCCTGGCTGATCTCTGTGGAGCCGACTCTAAATTGCTGATACCAAGAATTGTCAGCTAAATAAGTGGTTACTTTTTAGGCCTCTAAGTTTGTAATATATCTACTGCTAATTGATATTCTAGCTGACTTTGAAAACTAATTTTATGTACTGTTGTCTGAGGTCAAGCTGCTGTGACTAAGTATCACAGTTCGGTTGTCTTAAACAACAGACATTTATTTCTCTTCTGGAGGATGAGACGTTCAAGATCAAGGTGGTGGTAGATTTGGCATCTGATGAGGGCTCACTTTCTGGTTCACAGACAGCAGTCTTTTTGCTGTGTCCTCACATGGTGAGGAGAGGAATTAAGTCCCTTGGGACTACGACTACTAGTTTTAATTTTTTAAATTTTTTTAAGAGAAAGTGACTTACTGTGTCCCCTGCTAGAGTGCAGTGGTGGGATCATAGCCTACTGTACCCTTGAACTCCTGGCCTGAACTGAGCCTCTCACCTTGGCTTCCCAAAATGCTGGGATTACAGGCATGAACCACCTTGCCTGGCCTACAGATCTCTTATAAAGGTACTAATCCAATTTATGAGGGCTCTGTCCTCATTATCTCATCTATTCCTAATTACCTCTCCAAAATTCCATCTCCCAATACTATCACATTAGAGAACAGGGTTTTATTAAATGAATTTTGGGGGGACTCAAGCATTCACCTCATACACCAGTATTCTGCTGAACATCTTGATACATTATCCCACTGAATCTTATTCACAACCCCATAAGACACTCTTATAATTCCCCTTTTATAGAGAAGAAAACAGCCATTTTGCCTCCCTTCATAACTAGAATTTAAGCCCAAGTCTCTGACTACTGAGCCTGCTCTTTAAAACCCTAAATGTCTTATTGTTTCCATCTGAATTTGATTTTTGGTAAGTCTTGAGAAACTTGCATGGTTTTAAGGATTATTACTGTGAGGATTGCTACTTTTGTTACTTGATCGTTTAAAATTTAGCACAAAAACTAGGGTTCCCAAACTTTTTTTGTTTTTTCCATGATAATCTACTTTTAGTAGGGAATTTGCTGCTCCTACCAGGCTCTGTCCCTGCTTCATGCAGCCATTTCTGTTGTTGGGAAGCTCTCCTACTGCCCTGTCTAGGACTCTCCATCTGAAATTGTCAGCAGGTTGAGGGAAGAGTGTTTGGCAGTCGGCAGAACCCTGTTTCAGCTTAGCTTTTTTTTTTTAAAATTATGTAATATTCAAAAACTTTAACAAGATACTATTCTTTATAAAAAGAACACACACACACATATAGTCATCCAAATAAAAAGTAATAGTAGTTTAAGCTAGATAGCATGGTTATACTTAAGTTACCAACACCACCTAGAAACAGCATTTCAAACTGTGAAGGGTCAAAAAGAAAATCAGATCAAGGTAGGAAAATGTATTTATTAACATACAGCAAGAGGAACTATAGTTTGCTATCAGGGAGACTTCAACCCAGGTGGTAAGAAGCTCAGAGTCATGTACTACTGAATGACATATAAAGCAAGAATGAATAACTCACTCAACCTTTACAATGCTTGTGTTATTAGAGGTTTCCAGATGGCAGGGATTGGCAAAAATGATTACCTTATACCACGTTAGGAAGATAATTTAAGTTTCATTTATAATTGTCAGAGGCATTTACAAGAAATAACCAAAGTTAAGTTTCATTTATGCTTAAGAAATAAGCTAGCTTAAGTTCTACATATGTGATCTAGCTGGTTTTTTCAGGTCGGGGACTTTCAAACCTGGTTTCCATCTTACTTTAACAAAAATTTAATTCCTTCAAGGTGGTACCTTCAAAAGCTTGCAGTACTAAAATAGAATTTTGGCAAGACTAGTTTCCTAGGATACACAAGGCCAACTTTTCAAGATTACTAGCTGAGACAGTTTCTCTAGACAGGTGAATAGCCTGGTTTTCTGAACCCCCACAGAGAAAAACAGGATGTGGTTGAGAACTGGTTAGAGCCAGCTAGAACCAAGATGGCAACTAATTTGCCTGCTACCCTATCTTGCCACTCATTATATGGTCATTACCATATATTGGCATACTAAGTAACACCCTCCAGTACCATGACAGTGTGACTCTGTCCATTTATAGTAACAAATTGGGTGGAACCCCAGTTCTTTGAAATCTCCGCCTATTTCCAATGAAATGCATGATTATACCACCCCTTGCCTAGCATGTAATCGAGATAACTATAAAATAAAATACATGGTGGCTGCTCTTCCTATAGCTAGCTAAGACTGCTCTGTCTATGGAATTGCCTGCTGTCTGTCATTTTGATAAACTTAGTTTCACTTTTCAGCTGAGACCCCAGCAATGCATGGGGACTTCTCTGCCCAGAGAGTAACATTCTTTCTGTTCTTCTTTTTTTTTCTTTTTTTTTTTGTGTTGGAGTCTCACTCTGTCGCCCAGACTGGAGTGCAGTGGCCGCTCCCGTCCACCACAGCCTCGACCTGCTGGGCTCCGGCGATCCTTCCGCCTCAGTCTTCCGAGTAGCTGGAACTATAGGCGTGTGCTACCACGTCTGGCCAATTTTTTGATTTATTGTAGAGATGAGGTCTCGCCAAGTTGCCCAGGCGGGTCTCGAACCCACGGGCTCAGGCAATCCACTCACCTCAGCCTCCCAAAGGCGCAGGATTACAGACTGAGCCACCGAGCCTGGCTACTTCTTTTCTTTTAATAAACTAACTTTGCTTTGCTTTGTAGGCTCACTTTTGAATTCTTTCCTGCACAAAGTCAAGAACCCATTTGGCCTCTTGGGTTGGACCCCAACTTTGGGGTTCCCTGTCCTGTGTCAGTACTTGAGGGAGTGATAACAGTGAGGCCTTTTTAGTGTATCCTATTTATGTACCACTTTGAATATTAACATTGCTATGCATCTTTTTGTCCTCTAAAAATAGCGCTTTATTTCCCTGTGAGGGAGAAATCTTTATTTTACATTATTAACCAAAACTTACTATGTTAGTGACTCAGATCCAGGCAATTCAAGTTCTCTTATAAATTTGTATTTTTAGGCTTCTGAAATTTGAACAAAATCCAAACTGAAAGTGATTTTCCCAAATATTCTAATTGTCCAGAGGCCCTATTTACTGGCTTTATAAGGTCATAGGTATAGTTATTGGTTAAGTAATAGGTAAGTGCAGCTTTGGGAAGGTCACACTTTTTCTCTCTGACTGTTGTGAATAAAAGGTACAAAAGACCAACAGTATCTAACACTTAGATACACCTGCCATGGGCCCATCATGCTTCTAATCCTTTCAACTTAATCGTCCCAAATTCTCATGGTGTAGGTACAATTATCAAGCCCTTTTACAAAATGAGGAAGCTGAGACACACAGAAGTTAGGAAATGTTCTCAAGTTTACATACTTGGTTATTCTTGCACCCTAATTCGACATTTTGACAGCCTGGCTCTAGGGGCCCGCATTCTCAATTCCAACACCATTCTGCCTCTACAACCTTGAGGGGGTAAGTTTGTTAGGTTAAAAGCACAATCACTACTTTCCTAAAATATTGGCTGTGATGCTATTACATCGAGAAGAATGGATATTTTAAACTAGCGAAATAGATGGAAGATTTCCTTAAGCACCATATATTTTGTATTTCAATTGAATTTTGTTTTCCCATTTATCTTTGTGTTAAGAGAAGTCCCAGGAACCTTGCCTTCAGTCCTCTTTGCCCACTCCTCTCCTGTGGCCACAGGGCCTCACTCACCACAGTTGTCCTCGTCGGCCTGATTCCCACAGTCGTCCACCCCATTACAATGAAGGAACTGAGGCAGGCACTTTGTGACATTCCCACAGGGGAAATAGCCAAGGGAGCACTTGACATCCTGTCCACTTCCCTGAGAAACTGTGAAGGAAAGAGAAGACACAACATTTGGAGGTTGATGCAAAAGCACTGCAGAGACAGAGTAGCTGTCCCCTGATAAGTTTTTCACCATTTGATGTTCTCATCCTGGCTCATACAACCCTCCACATGGAAGCTTCACCTTGCTCACTACCTCTATGCCAACTATTTTCCAGGAAGTTTCACCTCGATAGGATGCTCTTTCCAGTGTTTCCAGAAGACACCAACATTCTCCTCTCTTTGTCTTTGTTCATGCTGTTTCCTACCTGGAATGTCCTTTCCATTCCCTTTCTTTTATGAAATATCTGTCCATACTTTACAGTCCAGCCCAATTCCCTCTTTTCTAACAAAGTTCCAGTCAATCATTTAAAAAATAGGAATTTGTTGTATTTTTTACTATGGACTCAGAATCAAAGCTAGAGGAAGAAGAAGACATAGAAGATAAGAGAAAAACATGTGCCACACATGTTTATTCGCATATTGGATAGTTCCTAAGTATGAATTCCTGTGCATACAATGTTGAATGAAACACAGTTGCTGCCCTGGTAGAGGTTGTCATCCAGTGGGGACGATACACTGAACAAGCCAACAAATAATTACAAATTATGAGAGGTGTAGAAATAAAGAAAACGTGTTGTGATGGAAAATAATGGTGCAGGGGCTTTTTACAAGGGGTAGTTAATGGGCTTCTTTGTAAAATGGTGCCATTTAAGCTGAGATCTGTAGGAGGAAAAGAGAATCACCCATGGAAGTGGGGAAGTGGTGGTGGTGGTTGAAGTGGTGAGTAGGATGCTTCTGATTGATGATCTGGGAAGTCAGAGAAGGTGGTTGTGATAAAGTCCTATGAACTGGATAAATGGCATGATCTGAGGTTGATGAGGTAGAGAAGTATCCTTGGGTAAAGGTAAAATATTTAATTTTATTTAAAATGCAAAGGGAAATTAATGAAGGGTTTTACTCCAAAGGACCATGTAGGAAACACGTCTGCTTTAAAAATACCATTCTGGCTGCTGGGGGTGGGGCATCAGTGAGGGACTTTGCAGTGCTCCGGAGAACAGATGATGGGGCTTGGTTCAGGATGGTATCAGTAGAGAGAGGAAAAGTGAACATATTTGACATGTAATTTAGAGGTAGAATAGACAAAATTTGCTGAACTGTCTTGAGCAGCTGGAAGCATGATGGTACCACTAGTGAGACTGTTTGGGGGTATGGGAGCAAGAAGAAATATGGCTCTCTTTTCTTTTCTTTTCTTTTCTTTTTTGAGTCGGAGTCTCACTCTGTCGCCCAGACTGGAGTGCAGTGGCCGCTCCCGGCCACCGCAGCCTCACCTGCTGGGCTCCGGCGATCCTTCCGCCTCAGCCTTCCAAGTAGCTGGAACTACAGGCGTGCTACCACACACAGCTGATTTTTTTTATTTATTGTAGAGATGAGGTCTCGCTGCCCAGGCGGGTCTTGAACCCGCGGGCTCAGGCAATCCACTCACCTCAGCCTCCCAAAGGCGCGGGATTACAGGCTGAGCCACCGAGCCCAGCTCGGCTCTCTTTTCTTTACTTTCATCTGTTACCCAAGAGCTTTACCACCTGAGCTTTCTAACTAAACTCAGCAACAGGGCCACTCATCCTTCTCAAAACCTCATCCTTATTCTAGAAGTTCTATTTTGGTTTTGCAACCCGTCCCCAGTTCCTGGAACTCCTCTATCACCACCATTTCCCCCATCACCTTCACTGCCTCCTAAAATTTGGGCTCCAGCCTTGTCAGAATTCCTGACTCAGATACTATTGGCTTGCTGCTAAGTGAGACTCTGTTGCTACTCGATGAACATTATTGTATTTACTTTTTCAAAGAAAAATTAGTCACTATTTACAATTATGTTTCTAGGAAAAAGTGTGTTCTGAGTATCCAAAGCCAGTTTAAAAATTAGTTTTGGAATGTTATCTGGCTTGAAATACTTATACTCCTACAAATAAACATTTAATAGGATGAAAAAGACTCTAAGAACTTTGAGACCTCAAAGTTCTACATTAATCTCTCCCCCTTACCCTCAATCTACACCAACAAGCAAGTAATTAAATTTCATTACATATTGGTTCTCAAGTTGTTTTGAGTGTTTTAATCTTATTTCCTCCACAAGAAAGAAAACTCATTGTAAACACAGTCCCTGTCATTGTTTGCATCTCTGGTTAGGGATGCTGAAAATTACTTGCTGAATAGAAAAATTAGGGGGGCAAACATCAGGGGTAAATATTGGTCCATAAAGAAGAAAAATTGAGCCAGGCTCAGGGGCTCAGCCTGTAATCCCGTGCTTTGGGAGGCTGAGATGAGTGGATTGCCTGAACCCGCGGGTTCGAGACCCGCCTGGGCAACTTGGCGAGACTTCACCTCTGCAATGAATCAAAAAATCAGCCGGGTGTGGTAGCTCATGCCCGTAATTCCGGCTACTCGGAAGGCTGAGGCGGAAGCATTGCCAGAGCCCAGCAGGTCGAGGCTGCGGTGGCCGGGAGCGGCCACTGCACTTCAGTCTGGGCAACACAGTGAGACTCCAACTCAAAAAATAAAAAAAATTAAAAATAGAAGAAAAATTGATGCAATAAACTTAGAGGAAGTACCTTAAACTATTAAAAGAAGGTATTATAATTATCAAAAAGTACAAGTATTTGAAAACATTTTCTACTACCATCCTGTTTGGACTTTGAAGGGCAACAATGCCATTTTTGGACGTAGACTTTGTTCTTAATAGCCATGTTAGGTTCACAGCAAAATATAGTGTAAGGTACAGAATCCCCATATACTCCATGCCTCAGCCAAGCACAGGTCCCTACCCCATGATCACTCCCCACCCCATACTGGTACATTGTTACAGATGATAATCCCACATCAACACATCATCGTTACTCAAAGTTCTTAGTTTACCCTAGTGTTCACTTTTGGTGTTGTACATTCTATGGGTTTGACAAATATATAATGACGTGTCCGCCATTATCGGATTACAGTTTAACTGCTCCCAAAATTCTCTGTGCTTTTTCTGTTCTCCATCCCTCCTCTCTAAACCCTGGTAACCACTGAACTTTTTGTTATCTCCATAGTTCTGCTTTTTCCAGAATGCTATATAGTTGGAATCACACAATAGGTAGTTTTTCACATGGGCTTCTCTCAGTCAGTAACATGCATATATATCCATTCATCTACTAAAAGACATCTTGGTTGCTTCCAAGTTTTGGCAATTATGAATAAAGCTGCTGTAAATATCTGTGTGCAGGTTTTTGTGTGGACATACGTTAACTATACCATTGTAAAGTCTCAGATTTATATAATTTCCAAAATTATTGTAGGTTCCCAGTATAATTAAGGGTTTGTTATCTTTACCAAGTTTGTAAATCTTTGGAACTTTCTAAAATATTTATAATTTTGAAGAAATAAAACCAGAATAGTTTGAATAGTCATTAAAGCTAATTATGTAAAAACATATTTGCAGTCTGGGATCACAGCATGAAAAGAATAAAAGTGACTACTTCCTTTGTAAGCTACAGTGGGGCTTTTGAATAACAGAGCAATTGACAATCTCATAGAGAAACAAGCCACGTATGCCAGGCTTTTACTGTTTCCAAGCACATACTTTGATTTGATGAAGGACACAGTCAAATCTATGTAATAATGAGCGGTGCTCTAAATAGTGTTCTCACTTGTGAAATTATTTCAAAATTAATCAATTTTTGTCAACCAATTGATTACAACAGTCAAAACAAAGGATTTGTATGCCAAAGGTCATCTCTGACTGAACATTGCATATCTCAGAGATCTCAAATGTACATGTAAATAGATTGATCTGTGTTGAGGTTGACTTTTCATATTTTTATTAATTTTTAAAGAACACTTTAAAAACCAAGTTTTTAGGAAATTTTTTTTTGATGAATTGTCAGCCTCCAGCCACAGATACTGTTTGAAGATGTTTTACCTAGACATACTTGCCTTTGTTTTTGTGCTGCTGTTTTAAATATTCTTTTCCAAGTAACTTCTTTTATGAATTTTATGCTTTTATGTCTTATGTTTTAAATTTATACTTGTGGAAGATGTAGCTCTTCAATAAGTACATCATGAAATTAGTCCTACATTTTCATACTGTTATTACTTAGCAGCTATATTAGGAATCTTAAATATTTTAAAGTAATTTTCTTTCTTTTTTTTTAAATTTTGAGTTGGAGTCTCACTCTGTTGCCCAAGCTGGAGTGCAGTGGCACACTCATGGCCACCCCAGCATTGATCTGCTGGGCTCCGGCGATCCTTCCTCCTCAGCCTTCCAAGTAGCCTGAACTACAGGTGTGTGCTACCATGCCTGGCTAATTTTTTAAAAATTTATTTATTGTAGAGATGGGATCTCACCATGTTGCCCAAATTGGTCTCGAACCCACAAGCTCAGGCAATTCACTTGCCTTGGCCTCCTAAATGCTAGTAATGCAGGCTGAGCCACCGAGCCTGGCCAGTGATGTTTTTAAAGTAGCTTTTTAATTTTGAGATGATCTCAAACTGACAGAGCAATTGCAAGTATAGTATAAAGAATTTTTCCCCCCACAACCATTTGAGAGTAAGTTGTGATCTGACACTCCATTACTCTAAAAATTTTGGTGTGTATTTCCTATAAACAAGAACATTCTCCTACACAACTAGAGCCATTAAAATCAGGAAATTAACATTGATCTATTACTACCACTTACACCTCAGAACCCATTCAAGTTTATATGTTGCCCAAAAACATCCTTTATAATAAAAGGGTCTAATTTGGAATCACTCCTTGCACTTAATTGTCACATTTCCTTAGTTTCCTTTCATCAGGAATGGTTTCTCAGTGTTTTCTTATCTTTCATGACCTTGACATTTTTGAAAATTACAAGTCAATTATTATTTTGTAGCATCGTCCTAAATTTGGGTTGTCTGGTGTTTCATCATAATTAGATTCAGGTTATGCCTCTTTGGCAAGAAACTCACGCAAGGAATATTCATTTCAACCT